GCCAAGTTGCCCAGGCAGGTCTCAAACCCGCGGGCTCAGGCAATTCACTTACCTCAGCCTCCCAAAGGCGCGGGATTACAGGCTGAGCCACCGAGCCCGGCTCACCAGAACATTTTCATCCTCTGACCAATGTCCTGGCCTTCCAAGATTCAGGCTCACGGGACTCCTTAGAGACCTGTAATGATGACAACCTGCTCCAGCGCCCTTTCCACAGCTAGCTGCGCTCCACCCCAGAAAATGCTGTCTCCTGGTCTCTCAATACCCTGATGACATCACAGCACTACACAAACCCCACCCAAGTCCCCGCACATGGTGGGTGCTGCGGACAGAGAGTGGACAGCTACGATGGGTACGGTCACTCTCTTGGGACCTAACAAGTCAAAGCTAATGAAAGTAATCAATGTTTCTCAGCAGGCTGCGGGAAGCGCCAAACGGCTGGCGCTACTGAAATGCGCCTCAAGCACATCCCCGCGCATCATGCCAGTAAGGCTACCTCCAACAGAGATACCAGTGGCAACGTCCTAAGGAAGAGCTCTTCTGCCTTCTCCGATGGCTATTTTAAGTCTGTTACAACAGGTGTGTTCAAGAAAAGTCTGCTTTAGAAGTTGTGTTCTTTAAACTTACAATCAATAAAAGTTAAAAAAAAATTTTTCTTGAGTAGGAGTATCATTCTGTTCCCCAGTCGAGTGCAGTGGCACAATAGTGGCTACCACAGCCTTGACCTCCTGGACCCAGGTGATCCTTCTGTCTCAGCCTTCCAAGTAGCTGGAACCACAGGCACGTACCACCACAACCAGGTAATTTTTAGGTTTATTATAGAGACGAGGTCTTGCCATGTTGCTCAGGCTGGCCTTGAACCCCTGAGTTCAGGCAATCCTCTTGTCTCTATATCCCAAAGTGCTGGGATTATAGGCGTGAGCCACCGTGCCGGCAAAAGTAAAATTTTTAAATGTTGGAGTACCTAAGTAAAACACCCAGCTTTATGTGCATAAATGACATGTATCTGCATCTGACATAGGGTGAGGGGTGCTCACGTCTACTGACCTTCAACTCTTCCCACAGGCCAGGCTGAGTGGCTGGGAACGAGCATTAAGGAAAACTCCTCCCCCCTCTTTCTGAGTTAGCATCTCACTATGTCACCCAGGCTGGAGGGCAATGGCAAGATCACGGCTCACCGCAGCCTTGACCTCCTGGGCTCAAGTGATCTTCCCACCTGTCTCCTGAGTAGCTGAAACTACAAGTACATACCACTATACCCAGCTAGTTTTTTGGATTTCTACCTTCACTATATTTCCCAGGCTCATCTTAAACTCCTGGGCTCAAGTGTTCCTCCTGCCTCAGCCTCCTAAAGTGCTGATTGCAGCAAAGTGCTGGTTACAGGTGTGAGCTACCATGCCCAGCCAGAAAAGTTTTCTTGTGTAATGCCTTTTGGTATTCGTTTTATTGCAACTTGGGATATTTGGCAAGGTCTATAAACATTTTTGGCTGTCAAATTTGGGGGTGCTACTGGCAGAGGCCAGAGATGCTGTTAAGCATCCTAAACATCCATAGGACCACACCCCACAACAAAGGAATCATCCAGTCCAAAGATTGCCACGGTTGGGAAACCCTGATATACACAAGTGTCCCTATAAAAGCAAATGACAAGTCACATCCCAGAAGAAGGGGCAATGATGCAAACATAAAGTTCAGACAAAGAAGTGGCCCTCTGAGTGCATAAAAGATGTCCCATCTCACTCATGCGAAGAGAAATACCACACAGGCAGACATGTCTTCTCCACCATTCCAAGAAAGTTGGGAAGGGTTGTGTATGGTTGGCTCTCTCCACTACAATGCCCGCACCACATGGGAAGGACACGGTCCCTGTGTTCACAGCCATATCCTGACACCCAGAACTCAGCCGGCACACACGGCAGGGATGTGATATGCTGGTGAATGGTAACACTACCAGGACAAGAAAGAAAAGACTCAGACACAGGGATGAGGGACACTGCAGTCACACCCAGCAAATCAGAATCATCTTCCACCCAGACACCCCTTCCAAAACCCTCTCCCGGGATATTCACACACACACCTGCAGCGGGGCAGCCTACAGGGACATCCATGCAGCAAAGTCTGTACCACAAAGGCAACCTGGATGCTCAGCCCCAGGGCAGGAGCCTCTGTGCAACCACACACTACGATGGAGCAGAGGGTGCCTGTTGTACCCAGTGCACATCACCCACCCAAAATTCCACATGCACACATTTAACCAGTGGCTCTCACCTAGTTTAAATGAAACACCTCCTCTGGGACCTCTGAGGCGGATGACAGCTGAATTGGTCCCTGCGTCCCTAGATGTCCCCAAACATCCACCACACATCATCAGTAACACAGCACAATGGCAGACATCCATGATGGAAAAAACCACACGCACACACACCTAAACTACAAAAACAAACCTGAAAACGCTATAAACAAAAATCCTGACAATCAGTTGTAACTACAGATCCTGATGAAATATGAGGCCGAAAAGCAACAAGTGCCCTGTTGGCTGTAACTGGGAGGGTGACACAGGCCCAGGCAAGAAGGTCGAAGCAGACTCTTTCCATTCTAAAGGTACACCTCACCAAGTCAGGTAACGTGTAATAAGAAAAATCTTTTCCAACAAGACACAACAGCTCATGACCAAGGCCACCACGACAGGCCAGCACCGACCTCCACACAGTGTGTCCAGCGGCCCGACCTGCAGGGGAGGCCCGTCAGGGCTTCTGGGGTCACGTCCTCATAACCACCACCATGAAGAGAAGCCTGTCTTCTCTTAGCTTCATAATTCATCAACCAGAACTGCCCAGAAACAAGCCACTTCCACTGTGAGTCCCCAGTCACCCTGTTCCAAGAACACAGGCGACTTTCCACCTGGCCAACATGTACCCTGCTGCGGCTGGAGACCTCAGAAAGTGGATCTCACCCTGGTGAGGCCAGGTCCCTCATGCGCTGTGGGAGCAGCTCCAAGTGGAATGCAGTCACAATGCCCGAGCCACACCAGGATTCCCACCCAGAAAGAAAGGAGCCAATGCCTGCAAGCCTGGCAGCAAATGCTTGTCCTATGGGAACAAGCAGACAACAGGGTACCCATGTAGGCCCATGTCTCAGCAAGAGGCCAGATGAAGAAATCTAGGTGTCACCCCGGGCACCGGAGCCTTGGCCCATGTGATCACCACACGCCCATACCCTCCAGACCTGCCCAGCTCAGATCATCCTGAGCCCAGCATCCCTGCAGCACCAGGGGTGCACACAAGGCCACCATGGCTGGCCTATCCTGCTGCCGAGTGTCCCAGGCACACAATAGGGCACATCTTTTGCCTGTTAAACTGAATGCAAAACAGCTACTTTAATAAGCCTGCTGTCTGAAGAGCACTGACACCCTAAGAAAACACCTGTAATGCCTGCATTCTGACAGCAGCCCCAACTCAGTTTTCAGTTACACACTGGTTAGAAAAAACAGGGCATCCCCTGACCCACCAGCGTGGCTGCAACAGCGGGACATGTCGACATCTGGGGTAGCCAAGCCCAGGACCGGACAAGTGGACCCAGTACCTGAACTGACCTGGCAAGGAAAACCGGGTCACTGATCACTTGTCACAGTGGGGTTTGAAGTTTTGCCTAAGGTGCCCCAATGGAACAGTCTCCATTTTAATCTGTCTCCACCTCTAAAAACAGACTGTCCCAAAAATAACCCGGACCCACTTTCAGCTTTGCAGATCCTTAGCAAGTGCCACCCTGGGCAGTGGCGGGGGGATGTCTAAGGGAGCTTTCCTGTTAGAACTCTGCAGGCTATGGACCACCTACCCTCCCTAACTTTCTCAGGCGTCATTTTTTTTTTCCTTTTTTTTCCAAGTTGGAGTCTCACTCTGTTGCCCAGACTGGAGTGCAGTGGCCACTCCCGGTCACTGCAGCCTCGACCTGCTGGGGTCCGGCGATCCTTCCCCCTCAGCCTTCCAAGTAGCTGGAACTACAGGCGCGCTACCATGCCTAGCTAATTTTTGATTTACTGTAGAGATGAGGTCTCTCCAAGTGACCCAGGTGGGTCTCAAACCCGCAGGCTCGGGCAATCCACTCACTTCAGCCTCCCACAGCGCGGGATTACAGGCTGAGCCACCGAGCCCGGCCTCAGGTGTCATTTTTAAGCAAGATTTTTTTTTTCTTGAATCAGTCTCGCTCTGTTGCCCAGGCTAGAGTACAGTGGCATGCTCATGGCCACCGCAGCCTCAACGTGGTTGGGCTCAGGCGATCCTTCCACCTCAGCCTTCCAAACAGCTAGAACTACAGGCACGCACTACCACACCCAGCTTATCTTTTGATTAAAGAGGTCTCAACAAGTTGTCCAGGTTGGTCTCAAACTCCTGAGCTTGGGTAATGCCAGACTCCCTGGGTCCAAAGACTTTCTAGCCCTCATGAGCAAGCCCTGGCTTCTCACTGTGGGCATTCCCTCCACACCCTGAGAGTTGTGCTCTTGGGAAACTGCATGGCACAGAGGCGCTCACCAGATGGACTCTTCAGTTTTTTGCTTCCACCCTCTTGCAACCTCTATGCCACCCTTCCAAAATCATACTACCACCTGCATAATGAATATTTGTATACCTAAGCCTGAATTGTAACCCACATCCCTAAAATAAAAAATTGAAAAGTTAAAAAAAACCATACTACCCAGGTCAGTTATGGCTGAAAAACTGGCAGAGAATGCAGCTCAGTACTTTTCTAGAAGTCTCTCTCTCTCTCTCTCTTTTTCCCCCTGAGTCAGAGTCTTACTCTCACCCAGGCTGGAGGGCAGTGGCATGCTCCTGGCCATCAAAACCTCAACCTACTGGGCTCAGGCAATCCTTCCGCCTCAGCCTAGCAAGTAGCTGGAACTACAGGTGTGTGCTACCAAGTCCAGCTAATTTTTAGATTTATTGTAGAGATGAGGTCTCGCCAAGCTGCCCAGGCTGGTCTCAAATCCCTAGGCTCAGGCAATCCTCTCACCTTGGCCTCCCAAAGTGCTGGGATTATAGGCATGAGCCATTGCGCCCAGCTAGAAGTCTCTTATAACAACTTGTTTAGAGTTGCTATGATTGAAAATTATCTTGGAGATATATATATACTTTTTGAGTTGAAGTCTCACTCTGTCACCCACACTGGAGTGCAATGACCGCTCCTGGCCACTGCAGCCTTGACCTGCTGGCCTCCGGCGATCCTTCTGCCTCAGCCTTCCAAGTAGCTGGAACTACAGGCACGTGCTACCACGCCCGGCTAATTTTTTTTTTTTTTTTTGATTTATTGTAAAGATGA